TATGTGACCCTGGACCACAAAACCAGTCATAAGGGTCAAAACATCATCTGAAAGCTGAATAAATAAGCTTTCCATTGATGTGTGGTTTGTTAGGATCTGACAATATTTGGCCGAGATGCAACTATTGGAAAATCTGGAATCTGAGGGTGCAAAAAAATCAAAATATTGAGAAAATCATCTTTAAAGTCGTCCAAATGAAGTTCTTAGCAATGCATATTACTAATCAAACATTAAGTTTTGATATATTTACGGTAGAAAATTTACAAAATATCTTCATGGAACATGATCTTTACTTAATATCCTAATGATTTTTGGCATAAAAGAAAAATTGATAATTTTGACCCATACAGTGTATTTTTGGCTATTGCTACAAATATCCCCCAGCGACTTAACACTGCTTTTGTGCTCCAGGGTCACATATGTTCACATAGAAAACGGCTATTTTAAATTATAATAATATTTCACAATTTTGCTGTTTTTACTGTATTTTTAATCATATAAACGCAGCCTCTGTGAGCAGAAGAGACGTCTTTCAAAAGCATTTGAAAACTTCCTGTTGTTCCCTCTCTCTCCGCCGCAGATGCAGTGGATTTGGGTTCCCCGGATGAGCTGACGGAGATCGTGGAGGTGGACGAGGGCATCTGCACACAAGCGTGCGCCGCTCCGAGCAGCCCGCCGACCATCGTCATCAGCAGCAGCAGCAGCAGCGGCGGGAAACCGGGCGGGAAGGGTCTGCGCCGCCTGACGGGCCGCTCCAGCAAAGACAAGGATGCGGCGACCGGCGTGGAGCAGCTGTCGCGCAAACAGGCCACCGTCCGCGCCATGAGTGAGAACCTGGAGCTGCTGTCGCTCAAGCGCCTTACGCTGACCAAGAGCGGCTCGCTGAGTCTGTCGCGCACCGCTAGCTCCGTCTTCTCGCGCTCCTTCGAGCAGGTCAGCAGCGTCCTCTCCTCCAGCCCCACAGCCAATCACATCGCGGAGGCGGACGATGGGGGCGTGGCTTATTTGGAACACCTAAGCCCCGCCCACCAGCACCGGCAGCGCTCGCCCACCATCAGTATCCACGTGACCTCTGACCTGTGACCCTAAACAGAGACGCTCGTCGCTGCCACCTTGTGGCAGGAAACTGCAGCACCTTACAGGAAGTCTGTTTATTTTTTTCCTTCGGTTTTCGTCAGTCGTGATCGATTACCAAAGTCATGTATTTTTGAAGTGTTTTTACTCCATGTGAAGTCAGACGTTGTGTATTTTTAATGCCGATTTGGTTGTTTTCACGGTATTGTTACTCGATTTTTACGTGTACGAACTGCAGTTCCTCTTCCCTACGTATCCCAGCATGCACTGCGCTCCAACCTGAAGCCATCACGTCACAGTTTCCAGGAATTCGGATGCTTGATTACAAACCCGAGTGGAAAATCCTGAAGAAATCTGACCAAAACAAGAGTCGTCTTCATTTACAGTCATCTTTTTCCTGGTGTTTCTGAAGCAATATGGTTATTATATGAAGTGCTGTATGTGAGGCCATAAGAGACGCTTTGACACGTGAGGCGGGCGGGTTAGTTAGTATTGGTGGTTAAACTGGTATTAGTTAACCATCCGTTCGTGTGTCACACCGATGTCATGCAGAGACCCAGCAAACAGTGTGATTATAAGCCAGAAATCATTTCTCGATTTAAAAACGAATCTAATTCTAGCTTCGATTTGCACCCGTATTTGTCTGGTTTTATTGTTTTCTTTTTTAAAGATGATGTTTTTGAAGATGTTTTCTGCTCATAATGGTTTGTGTTTCTGATTTGAAGTGGATCATCAATAACCGTGCTCGTGTCTGTGCTCAGATTATTTGGAGAATGTGAATATGTTGTTGTGAATTGTAAATATTATCGTACTACAGTCATTTTTTGCCTTTTGTCCAAAATAAAAGTAACATGGTTACAGTCTGAAAATAAAGATTTCTACTTCAATTTGCCTCTGGATTTTTATGTAGCAAGACAAAATCTCCATAAATGTTTTTACTAGTTAATGTTAAATTAAGAGACTCCTAACACGGATCTAAATGGTTCTGAGATTAAATCATTGAATGTTTTGTCATTAAACAATACTGATCTTTGTTTTATTTGATGGATTTATTATTTTATATTAAAATTAGGACAATTTGTGGACAATTAGTAATTAAATTTAAATCTGTAGGGCAAAACATGTTTTTATTTTGTAATGGAAAGTGCATTTTGAAGGGCCATTAATTCTTTAAATAAGATTGTTAATATTTAATTATTTGAATTAGATGCAATTTTTCAAACACAAAATATAATATAGGCCAGTTGAAACATTCAGTCTGAATTCATAGTAAATTAGTAAATAGAAACATACTTCTACATAATTCATATATAGTGTAATTAAAATGTGTTTTTCTGGGATTTTGTTATTTTATTTGCCTTTCATATTTCAGTAATTCAAGTAAATTGACCAAAAAACGTACATTTATGTGTAAAATATTTAATTCCGGATTAATGACACATTTTTCATAAAGCAAACTAAAATTAATAAAGTAATTAAAACATCTGTTTAACTATGATTTTATTGTAATTGTCTTTCATTATTCAGTAATTCAAGTAAATTGTCAAAAAGCATGCATTTTTATATATCAACGCTTACATTTACACATAACATTTAATTTAGTATATTGATGCATTTTTTATAAACCAAGCAAAATGAAATAAAATAGTGTAATTAAAATATATTAGTTTGACTGGGGTTTTGTGAGCTTATTTGCTTTCCGTTATTAAGAACATTTTCAAAATGCATACATTTATATCATATTTAATTTAGTATTAATGATGCATTTTTCATAAAGCAAAATCAAATGACGTATTTAAAATATATCCGTTTGACCTTTCATTATTCACTCATTTCAGTAAACTTTCAAAATGCATTCATTACATATATTTCATTTTGTATTAATGACACAGTTTTGAATTAATAACAAAGCAAAATAAAATAGAAGTTTAATGAAGAAATATTTGTTTGATTGGGATTTTTGTTATTTTATTTGCTTTTCATTATTAAGCAATTCGAGGAAATTGTCAAATTGCATGCATATAATTTTTAATTTGGTATTATTGATGCATTTTTCATAACAAAATACAATAAAATAAAATAGGAGTGTGATTAAGAAATATATGTTTGATTGAGTTTTTTGTTATTTTGTTTGCCTTTCATTATTAAGCAATTCAAGGAATTGTCCAAAAAGAAAAAAATTTGCATTCATATAATTTAAATTTGGTATTAATGATGCATTTTTCATAAATAACAAAAAAATAAAATAAAGGAAAATTAAATTAAAATATTTTATACATTGCACCTGCTTTTGTCCTTTTTAATTAATAACAAAGCAACATTAAATAAAATAGGAGTGTAATTAAGAAATATTTGTTTGATTGGGATTTTTGTTATTTTATTTGCTTTTCATTATTAAGCAATTCGAGGAAATTGTCAAAATTGCGTTCATATGCCTATAATATTTAATTTGGTATTAATGACGCATTTTTCATAAATAAATAAAATAAAATAAAATAAAATAAAATAAAATAAAATAAAATAAAATAAAATAAAATAAAATAAAATATTTTCTACATTGTACCTGCTTTTGTCCTGATGTCCCAGTGTGGCCACTAGATGTCAGCGTGGCGCTGTTTTAGGCGACTGTCGCAAAGCTGTAGCCGCAGCAGGAACGCCGCCGCCGCACACTTTACGGCATACACGTGCTTCCTGAGCTCTTCACCGCTCCGGATCCAGAGACAGTCTTTGAGTAAATCTGAGTGAAATGATGGCCAAACTGAGCAAAGAGAGCAAGCAGCGGCTGCAGCAGGTGTTCCAGTGCGGCCAGTTCATCATCCGCTGGGGCTTCATCCCCACCGTGCTGTACCTGGGTCAGTGAAGCACACTCAAACCCGTTTATTATCATCAGTGACCTGTCTTCATATCAGGCCTGTCAGGGGCCTTTGGAGACATATTTAGCGTTTAATAAGTCAAGCATCACTGTTAGTGATCGTACTTAAGAGTTAGTGAGTCAAACGAGAGGCTAGCCCTAAGTACATGTGTAAATAAATGAGTATATATACATACACACAAAAATATTGTGCAGCACAACTGTTTTCAACACTGATAATAATCAGACATGTTTCTTACATTTGAACAGATATTCACATAGAAAACAGCTATTTTAAATTGTAATAATATTTAGCAATTTTTACTGTATTTTGGATCAAATAAATGCAGACAAACGCATGTAAATCCAGAGAAAAGTGTGGGCAATGGCTGATTTAATGTAAATATTATGTATAGGTAAACATTGAAATGTTTGCAAATTAAATGCTTATTTTTACAGTATTTATGCAAATTCACAGAAGCATGCGAAAAGAGATCATGTGCATTTTACATTGACAAAGCTGATGGTAAATTCGAGAGTGGTCAAAATTATTCAACCCCTTTGACCTTCCGAGAACAATTTAACGAAAAACATTTCGACGAAGGCATCAGAAAAATATTACTGGAAGTTACACATTCGAGCGATTCTGGGATCGTAAAGTTGATGAAAAATGGAAAAAATAAAAAATATGAGAAATAAAATCAGAATTGCGTGATATAAACGTGAGTTGTGTGAGTTTTTTTCTCTTCTTGCAATTGCGAGTTACCACACAAATGTGACTTTTCTCAGAATTTGTATCTTGCAATTCTGACATTATTTCTCAAAATCTAACATTATTTCTCAAAAAAGGATTATATCTCACAATTCTGATTTTGTAGCATGCAATTTGCGGTACGTTTTGTCTCTGATTTTTGAGATATAAACTTGCAATTCCTAGAAAAGTCAGAATTACGAGAAATAAAGTCAGAATTGTGAGAGAAACTAACGCTGAGTTTTTCGCAGAATTGAGAGTTTATAGCGTAATTGTGACTTTTTTCTTGCATTTCTGACTTTATTTCTCAGTGTTAGTCGAAATTATTTGTCTCTGATTTTTGAGATATAAACTTGCAATTCCTAGAAAAGTCAGAATTACGAGAAATAAAGTCAGAATTGTGAGAGAAACTAACGCTGAGTTTTTCGCAGAATTGAGAGTTTATAGCGTAATTGTGACTTTTTTCTTGCATTTCTGACTTTATTTCTCAGTGTTAGTCGAAATTACAAGAAAGTCGAGTTTGTGTCTCGCAATTCTGACTTTATTTCTCAGTGTTAGTCGAAATTGCAAGAAAGTCGAGTTTGTGTCTCGCAATTCTGACTTTATTTCTCAGTGTTACTCGAAATTACAAGAAAGTTGAGTTCGTGTCTCGCAATTCTGACTTTATTTCTCAGTGTTACTCGAAATTACAAGAAAGTTGAGTTCGTGTCTCGCAATTCTGACTTTATTTCTCAGTGTTACTCGAAATTACAAGAAAGTTGAGTTCGTAATTACAAGAAAGTCGAGTTCGTATCTCGCA